ACAAGAAGATTCTTCTTATATCTTTCTTGATTTACATATCTTGTTTTGATATAATATTGCGAACTTGATGGTTCAACAATACTTAAATTCTTAAGTTTGCTTATTTTAGAGTTTTGTCTAGAGGGGAATCTTGCAATAAGATTATCTCTTCCTAGGCTGACACTATTTCTTCTTATTAGTTTTCCTTCAGAATTAATTTCTCTGGCTTGTTTATGGAAATCAAGCATTATCTGTTCGGGTATAGTGACATCATGTTCTTGGTATTTCCTAGGAGGTATATATTGTGCTAATTCCTCAAAATCTTTATGTATGATAATATTATCAGTTATTTTCCTTAGATTGTTATGATGGCTAGTACTAAAAGCAAAAATTGATTTTATGCTTATACTGATAGCCTTACTTCTTCGTGACATTTTCAAGTTTCCAATTCTATAATATAGATTGAAACTTTGGTTAATATTTTCATCATTTAATGATATTGCATAATTTGATTTTACTGTAAATATTATTTTCTGATAGACTAGGTTTCCTACAACTGTTCCTAATAGAGCATCTATAGAATCTTGTAAGATTCTGTTGTCCATACAATATATTTCTATTGGTATATTCATACCTTCTCTAAAGAATCCTTTTACCATTATCTGGACTCATCCTATTTCAATTTGTTTCATATGTTCTATGGGATTTTGGATAACTTTTGTTTTACCCATTCTTTTGTGATTATAGGAATTCTCACTTTTCCTATAATATCTTCTATGTTGATAGACATTTCTTTATAATTCATACTTACAATTGTTTTATTTACTCTTGATAATATTTCTAAGAATTCTTGATGGAATACATCATTTTCTTGTAGGTCTAATATTTTTTTGGTTATTCTTGTATATTTTTTAATAACAAAGGTAATTTCTTGATTTATACCTTCTATTGAGTCTTCAACTTCTTCAGTTGTTTCTATTCCTATTTCTGATTGTTGTATGTCCTGATTCATATATACTATTTCCTCATAGTCTTCCTCTGATGAGGATGTATTTAATTCATAAATGCTACTGCATTCACTACTTAAATCTCCAAAATATTCAATTGGTTCTATATCACTATCATCTTGAAATTTTTCATAAATTTTAAGAGTTTTTATATTTTGTCTATCTTTCTTTTTAGGACATTGAGAGGCAATGTGTCCTTCTTCATTAGAGATGAAACATCTACATTTTTTAATATTTCTTGGTTTAAATTTTTTATTCCAATTTCTATTCTTGAAATATTTTTTGTGTGGTTTAAAATTCCTTTTCTTTAATTTTTTGTAATTTTTGAATTTTCTTTTATATTTCTTATATTGTTTATATTTCTTCTTATGTCATCCAAATTGTTCGACTTGGCCTATATCTTTGTAACAATATAATGAATTCTTTCTTATTTTATATGCTTTTTTACTTTCTAGGGCTTCTCTGCACCACATGCCTATCATTCTTTTTGTAAATTTAATTATGCTTCCAAAACTATCTATTTTTACTCTTTCCTCTTGTCCAAGAAGTAATAATTTTTCATATTCTTTTAATAACTTAATTCCCCATGAGAATGGTAACTTAGTAAAATAAGACCTTAATATAGGTTTATTTTCTTGTCTTTCAAGTTCACACATATCACATATTTTTAAATTTTTCATTGTTATCATTCCTTCATTATATTCATCTTGTTTTCTTTCTTCTTCATTAGAAGCATATCTATCTCCTAAGAATTTTGTTCTTAAGATTTTTTCAAACCTTTTTAATATCTCCTGTATATTTTGATCATTCAAAGTATTCCTATTATCTAATACTTCAGTTCTATTATCTCCATATTTTATTCTTCCTTTTATAAATTCTGGTAGCTTTCTCCACCATTTAGAAACAATTCCTCTGAATGTATGTCTTATAAATCCAAAAACTGTATATGTTTCCTATTTATTAAATTGTATTGCTAAGTCGGTACTTTTTATCCATATTTCAATAGCTTTATTTTTATCTACACAGTCTAGATCTAACCATACTCCCGTTGTGTGGATTGGTTCATTATATGATTTCATTGGATTTATTTCTTTTATGGATTGTTTTCTTATATTTCCAGTGTATCTTTTCTGTATTTTCCTATATTGATTAATATCATCTTTAAGTGGTATCGTAGTACCATAAGGATAATCATATTCTTCATCACTACTGAATTCTATTTTGATATTTCGACTTGATGATGGGTTAGTATTCATCTTTGTATTTTTCATTTTTTAGTTAATTCATCTAACTTTTTTTTATATTCATCTTATTCTTCACCAGTAGATTCTAAGAATTTTTGTTTTAGTTCTTCTACATCTGTAATCATATATTGATTTTCTTCATTTTTTCCCTTTATTATTTTCTTTTTGAGTTATTCTAAAATCTTGAAGTGGATTAATTATAATCCTATCTTTTCCTTTAAAATTTTTATCTAATAGAGCATTTCCTACTTGTAGATTATGTTCTAAATTTTCTAATCTTTTATGTATATCCACAAAACTTTCATTTGTGGTGTTTTTAGGTAAATAGGGATAACTAGGTTTTTTTTATGTTTTTCTACTTTTTTCAAAAATTCTTCAATTATATTTTCTTCATCTACTATGTTTATCATAATTTTAGGTTTGTAACATGGCTTTGATACCATTTCGTCGGAGTACGCAACGGACGGGTTAAAATTTTTGAGCCAATTAAAATCTTTATAAGTATTTATAATTTCACAATATAATTTATAAAATTCACTATTTTTTGTTAAAACCTTTTCTTTAATAATTATATTTAATTTGTTAATTCTTCTTTCCAGTTTAAAAATTTGTTTATATATATTATTTTCTATTTTGATTGCTCTATTATCTATATAAACATTTTTATATTTTAATCTTGGATCTAAATATTCTGTAAAGGAACTCTTCAGATATTCTTTTAGATAATTTAATTCATCATTTGTTGCATTTCTTAGATCAATAAAATTTTGTATATTATTTGGGTTTAAATTTATTAAAAATTTATGATCTATATTTCTTTGAGGACCTAATTGAGGGGTTTTATACATTATAGTGGCTTTGATTGCAAAATTTTCTTTGAGGGGTATTTTTGGAAAAATTATTGTTTAAAGGCTATTTTTCAAATAATTATTTTTTCAGGTCCAATCTTATAAATTGCTCTTGTATTTAGGCTATCTATAGGTATTTCCTCTTGTGGGGGAGGAAATGGGGATATTTTAATCCTCTCTCTCTCTCTCTAAAAAATCTCCAAAGTTGATATGATAAATTAGAAGAGTTTGTTCGGTAATAATTATGAGAATTGATTTTTTAATAGTTAAAGAGAAAAGTAAATTCTATTGACGAGTGTAGAAGCCAAAAATAATTGTTGAAATAGTAAAATAACGATCAAAAAATTAATTTTTTGAAATTACTGTCAAACAGGGGCAAAGTCTAGAACACATAGAAGGCGGATAGAAAATTGACAGATCTACTATGTAACATGCATGGATGGTACCATTATAAATACAATTGTGCTATGTGTACAATCAGGTTGACAATTAGACACATGTGAGAAGGCTCACGCTAAATAAAAAAAATCATGAATTTCCCCTCCTGTGAGTACATTATCAACCTGGGTTTTCGTACAAAAAGAATAATTCATATAAATATGCAGGACTTGGAGGACACGAATATAAATATTGCGACTGACCAAAAGAAAACGAAAAAAAACCTCAGTCGTGTATTCAGCTCTCCTGCAGACCCAAAAATAGAACAAGAAATCAGCTCCAAAGTTTTCTACCTCCTCTTTGCTTTAGCTTAGATCCTTAGAACCATTTACTAGGGGTTTGACCCTATAGTACTGGGTCATTTTCTAAATTTTATTTTCACCTTTTTGGGGGCAAGCATAGGCAAAACAAGTTATCGTTCATGAAAACTTGGAGATTTCTATTTCTCTCTTTTTTCGTTTTAAATTTATTGTCTTTAGGTTTCAATTATGGCGTCTCGCAATCGGAGGAACAGAAGAAGAACAAGTTTCGCGAGCGTGAGGCAACCGATGATGCTCTTGGTTATCCCAATTTGTACGTATAATTTATTTAGATTTGAAAACTATTTGCATAATTATTGTTTGATTCATTGACACTATTGTTTATGACACATTAGTGGTTATGTTTATTTGAATGAATGTTTTATTATATAAAAATCGAAAATTCATTATGAATGGATGAAAGTGTGTCTTGGTAAACAACTGATGAATAGTACTATAATATTTCTACGTGCATCTTTTATAGGTTTAATAAATGGGGAAATTGTGAGCTGTGTTATTTGTTAAAATGTTTTATGATTTTATGGTTTGGGTGTGCTTAGTGATGAGGATGAGCTGTTGAAAACTCAATGCCCTCGGCATTTGGAATTAAGATGGCAGACTGAAGTGAGTTCTAGCATATATGCATCGCCGTTGATTGCTGATATCAACAGGTAAAAGGAAAAGCTGTCTGCTTTATGGTTTTTGTAGATAGAACTGCTTTTATTTCGTTCTATTTCCCTTTTTTGTAACTTTCATGTTTTTGTAAAGAATATGTAATGTGAAACTTAATCAGCTAAGAAAAAATACATGTCGAATACGAAGTAAACTTTGTATTAACAAGTCTCCTCTTCCAACAAGAGTTGTTATTTCCTATTGATTGAGATTTGATAAACTTTTCTTCAATAACTGTATTGGTCAATATTTATATTTACTTATCATTGCCGTTGTTTTGTTATCTTTAACTCCAATGTGTTCTGATTAAGAACTTTCCTATTTATGCTCAAGTGATGGAAAGCTTGAGGTAGTAGTTCCCTCTTTCGTGCATTACTTGGAAGTCCTAGAAGGTGCTGATGGAGATAAAGTGCCAGGTACACCTTTGCTTGTAGAGTTGAAATGAAGCTTAGATAGAGATATATTTCTCAGATTCACTTGGATAAGTAAATACTTGTTTAAATTTTTCTTATTGACTATGGAGGACTAATTTGTTAATCACATTGTTTCATAGGAAGCTCACAATTCATTAAACGCATCGAATCCTACACCAGAAGTTCACAATTCATTGAACACATCGAATCCTGCACCTGAAGTTCGTAATGATGCATCTAATAAAACAGTTTCCACAACCGAAATTCAACGTGATGTACAGAATGCATCTAATCTAGAGGATCCAGGAAAAAAGGATGTTAGTCAAGCAAATGCTGAAATCAGTATGCCACATAACATTAGTAGCAATACATCTTCTAATTCAAACACAAGGAGAAGGCTTCTTGAAGAAAGTGTTTCTGAATCTGGATCCAAAGGTAATGACGCTGAGGATGTTCATGCTGCTACTGTCGAAAATGATGGAGGCTTGGAAGCGGATGCTGATTCTTCATTTGAGTTATTCCGGGATAGTGAAGAGTTGGCTGATGAGTATAACTATGATTATGATGATTATGTTAATGAAACCTTCTGGGGAGATGAGGAATGGACTGAAGCACAACATGAGAAATTGGAAGATTTTGTGCATATAGATGCACATGTTTTGTGCACTCCTGTAAGTATATTAGCATATGTAGCTTCTGCTTCCTTGCTTATAGGGGTTGTAAGCATTCCTCTTTCCTGCCTTTGAGACCTCCAGTATAAGGTTTCTTAATGTGTTTTATTACCAAATTTGATATCTTTTAAACTTCTTTTCAGGTAATAGCAGACATAGACAATGATGGGGTGTCAGAGATGATTGTTGGAGTTTCCTACTTCTTTGACCCTGAGTGAGTTTCTTACTTCAATACAATGTGCTAAAACTTCAATCCTACAACTTTCATTTTATTTTTTATTTTAGAAACATTTCATCAGTTCTTTAAATATATTATCTGTGTGGATGTTGCGGCTTCTTTTTAATACTGAGGAAATAAAGAAGAAAAAACTCTAGCATCTTGCATTATGTTTTATCTCTTTCACTGATTGGAATCTACTAGAAGTGGTCTGCATGCCATTCAGCTGATTATTGTAGGTTCATAGGTATTATGATAATCCAGAGCATTTGAAGGAACTTGGTGGCATTGAGATTGGAAAATACGTTGCTGGTGGCATTGTTGTTTTCAATCTTGAGACAAAGCAAGTTAAATGGACTGCACAGCTGGATCTGAGTACAGATTCTGGAAATTTCCGTGCCTACATATATTCATCTCCAACAGTTGTTGATTTGGATGGTGATGGGAATTTGGACATCCTGGTTGGAACTTCTTATGGTTTGTTCTACGTATTGGACCACAAGGGTGCGTGTTCTGTTCCATGTATTTGAAGATTTCCATAAACTTGCAAGAAATTGGTTTTACAACAATTTTACAATTGGACTATACTATCTCTATTTGTTATTTTTTTGTTGTTTTTATCATCATCATCATCATTTTTTGTGTTTTGGGTGTGGAAAAATATGAACAGTGGCACACATAAAAAATCTGAGACCATTATTTCGTTGTTGAATTTATGAGTGTCTACAAAGTCCATTTACCTACCTTTTAACCGCATATTTTCCAAACATTCACTATTCAAAGCTTTGTTTTTGCTAAATATTGGCCATCAAACAGGTGCTTATTCTCTCCAGATCATATTGAGACACATTCTTGTATTTTTTAACTTTTAACCTTCTAGTTTGCATCTCTTATTGGCTTTTTTATTAGCCTTACTGTAGCTTATACTGATTCAGGCAAAGTGAGAGAGAAATTTCCACTTGAAATGGCTGAAATTCAAGGGGCAGTAGTTGCAGCCGATATCAATGATGATGGCAAAATTGAATTGGTGACTACTGATACACATGGAAATGTTGCGGCTTGGACTTCACAAGGAAAAGAAATTTGGGAAGCACATGTTAAGAGCCTTGTTCCACAGGCAAGTCACAATTTCTTGACTCCTAAATACGGTAAATTCAAACTAGATATAATGTTTGTGTATGACAGGAGAATTATTATTTTTTCTCAGGGTGCCACGATAGGTGACGTGGATGGGGATGGTCATACTGATGTTGTCGTTCCAACAATATCTGGAAACATATACGTTCTGAGTGGCAAGGATGGGTCAACTGTACGACCCTATCCATATAGAACTCATGGTAGAGTGATGAATCAAGTTCTTCTGGTCAACTTGAACAAACGCGGGGAAAAAAAGAAGGGACTAACCATTGTTACTACATCATTTGATGGTTACTTATACCTAATAGACGGGCCCACATCATGTGCCGATGTTGTGGATATTGGAGAAACATCGTAAGATAATTTAAAGTTCATGTAACCAATAGTCATTCTTATAACCACTACCTTCTTACTTCACAAATATATTACATCTTCTTTAATGACAGATATAGCATGGTTTTGGCCGACAATGTCGACGGTGGAGATGATCTTGATCTTATAGTGACAACCATGAATGGCAATGTCTTCTGTTTTTCAACACCTTCTCCACATCATCCACTCAAGGCAGGATATGAATGAATTAAATCTGCTTTTATTTATTCGCAACTTGACATATAATTATTAATGCATCTTGATTATGGATTTCCAGGCTTGGAGATCATCGAATCAGGTAAGAAACAATGTTGCACATCGCTATGGCCGCGAAGGAATCTATGTTACACCATTATCAAGAACTTTTCGTGATGAAGAAGGCAAGAGTTTTTGGGTCGAAGTAGAAATTGTAGACAGATACAGGTTTCCATCTGGCTCCCAAGCACCTTATAATGTCACGGTATGAAGCTTCTTCTGGCTTTGATTCTTTGCATATCTAGGAAAAAAAGGGAAAACTTATTTACCATTTGCTAATATTATCTTCTGTCTTAATGTAAACATAGATAAGTTTGTTGGTTCCTGGCAATTACCAAGGAGAGAGAACGATTAAGCAAAATCAAGTCTTTGATCGTTCTGGAATACATCGCATTAAACTTCCAACTGTAGGAGTTAGGACTGCGGGGACTGTACTAGTAGAGATGATTGACAAGAATGGACTCTATTTTTCAGACGATTTCTCCCTTACCTTTCATATGTATTACTACAAGCTGTTAAAATGGCTTCTTGTCCTTCCAATGCTCGGAATGTTTGGCATTCTTGTCATCCTGCGCCCACAAGACACCATGCCTCTGCCATCATTTTCTCGAAACACTGACTTGTGATATTGAGCAGCCAATGAAATCTGACGTGCATATTAGGCATTACACAGCAGTTGAGGGTTGCCATCTTCAGAACCCTTGTGCTGAAAAACCTAATTAGATCAAATTTAGTCTCTGATAAATCTTCAACGTCTCATCTCTGCTACGGAGCCTGTGCCTGAGACGAGAGATTTGTGTTTGGAAATGCAAGGCATATGTTGTAATTGGAGCTGATTAAGGAAAGGTTTTATTTGATGTAATTGAATTCTTTCCTTTGCGAGATTTATACAGAAAATTAGATTTTTGACCCTACACTAAATTTGATTTTAGCGGATTTTCTGGTCATTCTTTTTTTCTTTTCTTTTTTCTCCCTCTGCATTCTGTTATATCCTTTTTGGGTCTTCTTAATCTTATATTTCGTCGTGCGATTTAACCTGTACCAAATATTTTATTGGTGCATGTTTGGCCAAGCTTAAAAAGTTTGCTTATAACTAAATAACTTTCATATTTCTAAGAAACTTGGTGGTGATTCTCCACATTTACACTGTTCTTTGTATCAATGAAGAATCGTTAAAGTCATGATTTTAAGTCTATTTATCGTGTCAAACCTTTTAAACTTTTAGATAAGATAGTTCAACAAGATTTGATAGTTTTTACATCTTTCAATGTTCCTTCCTCTATTGTAGAACAAATATAACACCATCGACGAAAAAGTGTGATGGCATTGTTTACCTCATTCCCTTGAAATAGGCTCCCGATGGAAACTAAGTTTACCTGCACGATAATTTACACTACTGTCAATAAGATTTTCATTTTTTCTTCGTCAATACTGCTCATTACTGTTCTATCTGCCTGCCGAGCATGCTACCAGTTATTCCACTTATTAATTCTTTTTGAAGAAATTCATAGTAACCTGTACGAGTCACAAGAAAGAGCAGTTCCGACCATGTTCGGCAGAAAGAGGCACAATTAGGCTGAGAAAAATCTGAACGAGGTAGGTTTTTGTGTTAAGAGTTGGTAAAAATGAGAAGCGAGAGCTTCAAGAAATGCATGCTTAAAATTACTTCTAATCAACTTGTTAAGACCCAGTTTGCCAACCTTTCTTTCAAAATTCTTTTTTCTCATACTCATTTTCAACTACACATTTTTACAATAAAATATTCTTCACGTAAACTCAAAACTGTTTCCTATGTTTTAACCATACAATTTCCAGAAATTTACTATTAAAAACTCTTTCAAAAAATTCTTGTTGAACAGTGACTAAATTTAGCTTAGAGCAACTATTTATAAATAACATCTTATATATATTATAGAGAGCATCCACATATTTAGAGAATCAAAATTTTATTTGTAAATTTATCTGATCAAGCGTGCTTTTGAGTTTTGTCTACTGCATTATCATATTTAATAGAATAGGAACATTTTGGTTCTGCATCTTTTGAAAAATGGGCAGTTTTTCTCGAGAATATCATGTTTAATACAATTGAAAAAGATTATAATAAAGTTAATTTTGCGTACGCTTTTAAGATTTAAGTCAATATGCTCTTGGCTAGCATGAGAAGTGGCAAAATTTTACTTTACAATCAAATAATAATCTACCTCATGTCACGGAAAAAACTATAAGATTAAAATATAAATTTTATAAAGGACTAATTTGCTCAGTATATTGAAATTTGAGGACCTAAATGTAAAATAGAAAATGAATTCAGAAGGCAACGTCCGAGAATTTTGAAACAATAAAGACGCGGTTCTTGTTTACACCAGACATGCGATTTTAGTTGACAACAGATAAAACTGTTGCGAATGAACCGGACAGAAGCCCATTGAAATATTTTAAAGCATTATAACGTACACACAATGACACGAAGATCTTTCTTTAATTTATACTGATTTCCCGCCCCATCTTCCTCTCTCTCTACAAATATATATTCATAGCTGAATGTTGTTTACATGTTGTAGCTAGCTAGGGTTTTTTATTTGGATCTGCAGAACAATATGAAACGAAGTTGCAAGCTCAAGAAACCAGATTCAGTTCCCAATGTCGGTACATCTAAGAAACCTAATACCTTTTTTTTTTAAATGCTACTAAACGCATTTTAATTAATCATGTCATTACATTTTTGCAGTTGATTTTGGAGGAAATAATTGGCTTGACAACGAAAAACGCCAATGGATTGGCTTCGAGTATTTCCACTTCGAAATGTGCGTACATTGCGGGCTGCGTTGTTGTGTTATACGATGTAGATTCCAGTACTCAATCGCATCTCATGGTGTTTAATCGGATGCCAAAACCATTGACTTGTGTTGCATTGTCGCGTGATGCAAGAGTTGTTGCAGCTGGAGAGGTATAATCAGTTTATTCTTGTTTGTTTGCAAGGACTTGTTCAGATTTCAGATTCGCATTTTGTTTACTGTTATTTTAATATCTAGGTTTGATTTTGATAAATAATTTAACATCCAGAATTAGAAAGGAGACTTGACTTTTTTAAGAAGCATAAATTATTTAAAAGAGATATAAAACAAAGAAATTAAGCTTCTGTCAAAACTAATAAAATTAATCATCTGACTTTATTTTTGGTTCTTGCTGATACACTTCATACTGTTTTTTAGACAAATTCTATTTTTAAGGAAAAATCTATATAGGTTCAGGAGATAGTGCTCACCTAAAATCAGGTTAAAAGCTGCCAATCAATAACTAAAAATTGAATGTAGTTTGATATTGAGCTGATTATTTTATTATTATTATTATTATTGTTCTTCACTTTTTACTTAACTACTTGATTGAATTGTTCACTTCTTTTCTTTCATGTTCTTGGCTGATTTCGATGCATAAAGTTAATATGCTATAGTTATTCCTTCATTTATGGGTAATCAGTACAACAATTAATGGCGAAGTTTTAAGAAGAAATTATTATATTTTCTCTTCCAATTCTATATAATTTTTCCGTTATGCGGCATTTCAGTCAGGCCCCCGACCTGCAGTATTGGTATGGGATGGCATAACCTCCAGTTTAATACGTGAGCTAAAAGGACATCAATATGGTGTGGCATGCATTGCTATTTCACCTGACGGTTAGTTTGAGCATGTCAGTTAGATCTTTTACCTTCAATTTGCTTCCTCCTTGACAAACCCCTTCTGTCATTTTCAATGTGTGACATTTCGATCCTTCTAGGGAAATGCCTGGCCTCCATAGGATTTCCTCGTGATGGATATATCTGCCTCTGGGATTGGAGAAGTAAGATTTTAATGACAAAAATCAAAGCCTCTTCACAATATCCTGCTTTTGCATCTGTTAGCTTTTCGCTAGACACAAAATTCATAGTAACTGCTGGGAAGAAGCATCTGAGGTTCTGGAAAGTTGGATCACCTCCAAACTCTCGTGCTAGTACTAGATCAACATCAGTGGCCATGCAAGGGAAGCCCATCAATCTTGGTCACTGTGAGGGATTTTCATTTGTTGCTGTTACAGCTCCCAGCTGGACCAAGAAAAGCTCTGTAAATCACATACATGCCGCTGAATCACCTATATATGCATTAACTGATACAGGTAATCAGGTTCACAATCAGTATGCTGAGATGGTAATGCCTTTGTGATCTGTCTATGATAATTAATCATCTCTTCTCTTGTTCAGGAATTTTATGCGTTTTAGTCGGCTCATCAATTATAACCTCAGTGGAGTTAGAGGTAGATTCGGTTAATGTTATGCACATGCTTCTTGATTTTGATCCAAACTATTTCTTTATCCAAATAGTCTAGTGGAATGTAAGAAAGTAAATAGTAGTGCTCATGGTGATAGTTCATTAATTAAGTGTTTGGTTGTTCTAACCATTATTTGAGTCTGAATTCAGGTCGAAAAAGGTTTTGCACTATCTACATCCAACAGTTTGGTTGCTTGTGCATGCAACAATGGACTTGTTAAACTATTTGGGACCAGTTCCCTACAATATGCTGGAAGCTTATGTTACACTGAAGCCAAAAGATGCAATAAACTAAATGTTGTGGACTGCAATACTGATAATAGCCAAGTTGGACTTCAATCTCTGCCCGAACTTCCTGATGCCATTGCTTGTCAATTTTCAACCTTGGAAAAGCTTGGCAAGTAACTGACGATTCTTGATTTAAGGATTTTGATTTTACAATGACAGTTGCTAATCATGATTCATCTTGCAGTGGTGATTTATGATGACCACAGCCTTTATATATGGGATGTTCGTGATGTACAGAAGGTGTTTTTCAAAAGTGTTCTTTGTTTTCTTATCATCAGTATCTCCCTTTAATTTAATTGTCATATTTGACATTCCTGAATTCAGTATTTTGGATTGGTGACAGTGATTACATTTGAAAGCAGTAACACCATGGTATCTTATCCAGGCTACCAGGTGTTTTGTGCTTGTTTCACACGGTGCATCCATATGGGACGTCAAGAATCTTCCATGTGAAAATATGCACAATCCCTCTCTCTCATGTGTTGCTAAAGGTTGTTCTGGTGGATTATCTTTTGCAACATGCTCGGCTGATGGTACTATTAGAGTATGGGATCTTGCTCTGCAATCAACCTCGTCAATGGACAAATTCTCTCTCTATACAGTTGACAGCTCTTTGATTAATCATCCGAGTGGAACTACATGTCTAGGTAATTTTCACGTCCTGGAAATTCCAACGGAATTAGTCAAATCTCTTTATGCCAATAAGACTCATTAAAATATGCTGCCTCCATCTTTATGTCACATTTTTGCTCAGCTTGATTACTGTCTGTCTGCTACTATCTGCAGTGAGTGCTGGGATTTTTGAACGTGATTTTGTGACATTAGGCATTTCCTCTCCAGGGCTTCGATCAATGGCTGTTAGTTCTGATGGAAAGCATCTGGCAGCTGGTGATTGCCAGGGAAATCTCCATATCTTAAATGTAAACACGTCTGATTATATATGCATACAGGTAAACTAACCACCTAAGTTTATACTGTGCATACTCAAATGAAGGATTTACACATAACTTCTTTGCAGTTGTGTGTCATTTATTTATAATAACTATGCCTTCTGTATTTGTAATCTTTATTTCATCTTTTTATGCCCTAGGATGCCCATGATGGTGAAATCCTTTCATTGAGCTTTAATTTCGAGAACAAGAAAGATAATGTTTCAACAGAAGTTTCAGAAAGTCACCAGTTTCTTGCCTCGGGAGGTCGTGATGGAATGATCCATGTATATCGTGTTGACAGGTTTAACATGGGACGTTTCACATGTTCAAATTTTTGAATAAATTTTCTCAATATCATCTTACTCTTGTAAATCCATTTTAGTAACTTTGATCTCATCGGAAAGATTGATTGCCATTCAACTGCGGCCACTCCAGTAAACCTCACATGCAGTGGCACTAAGATTATCAGTTGTGGTGGTGATAGGTGAGTTCTTTCAGAGCATATAGTTTCTAAAAACTTGGAGAAGGTGAAGATATTGCACCGTGTTGTTTATATTGACATACTTGAGAAACTTGTGGTCTTTTGCCTAGTGGTTAAAATCCATTCACATACGTCTAGGTGATCATGATTTGTTGGAATTCCAAGATTTTTTTTGTGGTGATTGGTTTTGTCAATGTTAAAAGGGCCTTTGTGTAATGACCCGTGCCTCCACTTGTAGGGGATGCCAGGTATAGTGATTGAACTTCAAGTGCAATCTTTCTGCTTCTAAGACATGATCAATATGTGAAATATGCTCAATAAGTCTCGATACCTCTCAATGTGAGAGGTTCTCTCTTTACATAGAACTAAAATCATAACTATAGTTATCAATTACAATATTCATTAATTGTAAACTATTGAATATGGTAGATTTCTTTATACTCAAGCTTTCCTTATATTCCATCGACATTCCCCTTAAATTGATGTTGGTAACATCTTCAATTTGCAATTATGAACTGGCGGTGGTGACAATGCTCTTACCCATGAAGAAGAAACCCAAATTACAGTAACCATCTACGAAAACCCACTCTAGAAAGCTCACATTCCAAGAAGAATTTTCAAAAGAAATTCACGAAGTGTGTCGATCACACACAATGAGCTCTATCAGCTGGAAAAACTCATTTGAACTCATAATTTGTGTTCCAACAAAAGCTCTAACGGCTAATGCACCAGCCAAAAATCTAGCAACATATTGTTGGCCAAGATGCTGCCGTTCCACCGAGTAGAAAACTTAAAGATGATCCTCCTTTGAGAATTCAAAACCATCCTAGGGTGATCCTCCTTCGAATACCAAGAAAACTATCCGAACTCTAAAAAGACTCGCGTCGTAATAAAATCCAACCAAAAAAAAGAGAGAAAGTTCTAAGGAACTGACTCTAATACCATGTCAAATATATTCAACAATACTGAATAAGACTCGATACCTCTTAATGTGAGAGGTTCTCTCATTATGTAGAATCAAAATCACAACTAAATATGGTAGTGCTGCCGTTCCACCGAGTAGAAAACTTAAAGATGATCCTCCTTTGAGAATTCAAAACCATCCTAGGGTGATCCTCCTTCGAATATCAAGAAAACTATCCGAACTCTAAAAAGACTCGCGTCGTAATAAAATCCAACCAAAAAAAAGAGAGAAAGTTCTAAGGAACTGACTCTAATACCATGTCAAATATATTCAACAATACTGAATAAGACTCGATACTTCTTAATGTGAGAGGTTCTCTCATTATGTAGAATCAAAATCACAACTAAATATGGTAGCCATTAATTACAATATTCATTAACAGTAACCTATTAAATATTCGAGCTTTCCTTATATTCCATTGACAGTATTTATATTTCATCCTGTAGGTCTTTGGTGGTCCATAACGTAATTGCAAGTGAAAAGGATTGTAAGATTTCATGCTGCTGCAGGATTGCAACTAGTGGGACCATTCAAGATATGGTGGTTAATAACTCTATGGAGGTTGCTATTACCGTGGGCAAGGTAAGGTGATGGAAGAATATTCCTTTATCTTGTCTAAAAATTTAAATGGTAAATCAAGCTGCCATGTTTGGCTTCTTTTGGACAGTGACTTGATATTTATATGAATAATGCTATTCATCCTCACAGTGGTTGATCCCCAGTCTAGGTGGCAATTATATGACATTAAATGATAGATTCATTTAAATGCAAGGTCACATGACTAATTAATTATACGTATAGAGTATTGACACCTAGACTGGGGGATCAACCCCTGTGGGGATGAATAACATTACTCTTTATATATTGTCACAATCTTAATTTCATTTTAATTTTTTAATTTTTTAATTTTATTTTGTGGAAATTCAATTTTTGTGGTGACTAACATACAGTTCACGCATGACATTCTTATAGGATAAGAAGATAAATACATTCAGCATTAACACGGGAAAACTTGTTAACTCTATTGATCAGGATGGAGACACCGGGGACCCTGTAAAGGTACAAAGCAATTTGGAAATTCAAAATTGATTTCCAACTGGTGTTAACATGCACTAGTAGAAAACATGGTTTCACATAAATGACCTTGTGCTTCGTGTAAATTCCTTCTGCAGGTAACTATTGATGGAAGCTGCAGTTATCTGGTCTGCTCATACTCTAATAGATGTATCTGTATGTTTGACTACATAACTGGGGAGCTAGTTGCACGAGCAGTAGGGCACAGTGATGTTATAACTGGGATTGCCTTTTTACCTGACTGCAAGCATCTTGTTTCAGTGAGTAATTTAAAATTTTATTTTTTGTTACTAATAATTGTTTTATCTTTCTAAATTATCATTTGAAAGCCATTTGAGCCATGACTTGTCATATTGGAAAATCATAATTTTAATAATTTCTATAATATACAATCCAATTTATTGAGATAATATCTGAAACAAGTGTCACGTGAGATTTCTTAATTTCCCCCCTATATTTGGTGTTTGTTAAGTTGCTGATTTTCTTGTGTATTCAGATTGATGCCGATAGTTGTATCTTTGTTTGGAAAGTGCCTGCTCCTTTCTCTTCACAGATGCTACAGAGAACAAAGGGAATTTCTTTTCCAATTTCCCCCAAATGCATGGTTCAGCAAGTGTCTCTAAACAAAATCGGCTCTTATCAATTCGATGACCACTCCCGCAAGGATGTAGCTAGAGAAAAACTGAACCAAAATCAAGGACTGCTTTTTCAACATGGCAGTTATCCCAAGACCTCAGCATTTAGGTTCAGCATATCTCGACTTCCAAAATGGGCACGGGCTAAAGTTTCTATTCCCAATCCCATCCCCACTGACCCAAATTCCAGTTCATCCAAGGTAGGTCACATAACAATTGGTTAAGATGTCACTCCAGAAATTATGTTAATTTATGTTCTTAGACACCTCGTTCCTTCCAAATTTGTGTTGAGTTTTTTGAACACTTAATTCATTCTCCCTTTACCTGGGAATTTTGGCTGCTCTTTGAAACACACCAGCTTCAATATGTCAATTATGTACATCCAAAATACAAGGACAAATCAACTGTTTTGGCTCTTACTCCCCATGTTTTAGGAAATATGAAATGACCTTTTTGTTTCAGTTATAATGCAATCACTGGTTTCATACTTCCCTTAACTTTTGTTGACAGATTAGACCGGGGAAGTGTTCTCCCTTGCTTACCCATGGTTTGCAAGAAGACTCTGCAAGTCCCATCATATCGCAAAGTACACCAAGACATGGTTTAGAAGGCAGCAATAAATTCTCGGGGACCTTGTCCAGCATTTTATCAGATACAGATTGCAGCCAAGGATCTCCAAGTCCTCAAGAAACTTGTAGGTGAGCAGCCTGTTTCAATGTTGTAAAGAGGCTGTTCTTGGCATCTTGCTAATTACTGGGTCGCATACTTTAACAATTGATATTTTTCCATCTGCAGCTATGCATTGGATAACCGCTGGTTAAAAATTCATACAGTGTGTATGGATCTTCTCAATTCGCCAGACATTTCAGATGTGGAGGCCTTGAATGTGCCACACTGTGCTTTGGAGAGTATGTGTGAGATCAAGCAGTGTTCGTTTCCTAATCCTGTTTACATTCTTAAAAACCATGCAGTATGAAGGATGGAATACTGGGAACATGATCTTTTTCTGTTATAAGTAGTTTAGATTGTCCTTTCTATGCTAGCTTGATCAATAAGTGAACATTGAATCTCAACTTTCTGAATTTTTATTTTTCTTCTTCAGTCCAAAAAACTTATTTTAATTGTGAAACTAAGAAGACCCGTGAAATGGAGACTGTAAGGGAAAGTTTTAATTAACCAATTCCAAAAAGGAAATTAATTATTTGAGTAAAGAAATCGCTAATCTACTAGTTTGATTTGTGCATTATAACAACTTATTTGGTGGTTTGCTAAAAAAATAGAATATATGTTTTGAAGTTCTATTTTGAAACAAATATTAAATTCACACGGTGTTATTTGGAGTAGAAATCCATAGTCTTGTTCAATATTTCACAATGTCATTTCTTCGAATCATGACTGCCTCTGTAGATAAGTGTAGTCATTTCACTTTTGTTTTCATGTTGCTCTTTGGTTGCTGCACTGCTTGTGAAACACTTGTCACAGTATCAAGTAAATACACATTAGTTAGCCTCAGATTTTGAAGATGGTTGTTGATTGCAAGTTTTTGTGATACAACCTAAACACATCTATGAATTCAGTTCAAGCTATTTAGAGTAAAATTTAGTATATACAAGTATGTAATTCAAGATAGAAACACATTATCTGGTCTTTGATGCTTTGAAATCTTATGGCTAACATGTAATGGCCTCGTGCAGCACAAGACCTAGCAATGGAGACATATCGTGATAACAAGCGCATCAAGCTGTCATCCATAGATACTGGTTTGGACAATCCTGCTGCAAAACCCATCTTTGACTTTCGTGAAGACACTCTTTTACAGGATTCCACTTTAAAGGAATGCGTGAATTATTCTGGTACTTTTTGTGATAGCATGGATCAACATCAGATTAGAAATTTGAACTTATGCCATGAGCATGTTTTTCATGAGATGTCAGCAAAGCTGCAGTCAAATAAAACCGAAGCTGGGGTAAGAGAAGTTGACAAAGATTACAATATCTCCAACACAAATTCCCAGGCAAGTCAATTTAACTGCACCTTTTAAACTTGTCAACATGATTGAAGGTTTGAATTTCCGATGGAATACTATGTACTGTTTACATTTTGTAAAAAACGTCAGCTTTAGGCATGACTATTACCCTGGATGTTTTGTTACTTCTTTTTAGCCTTTGTTCATGTAACAAGGGTTTCGTCAAGAAATTATTTTCTTCTATTTTGTCTGGGCTGGTGATGGGAATAAAGTTGAGCCTTATATTTGTGTTTGCAGATAGAGGGAAGGAAGTCATCAGCAAGGAAAAGCTACTCGGCACGACTTCTGCTGCAAAGGAACCGTGTTGGAGGTTTAAATAGATTTTCTGGCATGCAGGCTCGAGATTCTGTAGGTGCAATTCAGAGAGAAAGCGCAGAGGCCGAACCAAATTCAATGCTGAAAGACCCATCCAATCCGTTGCTCAAAATATTGCAAAGGACAGATGCGGACGGACAGGTATGGTTTATCTGTTCAAAGAAAAATCGAAACCTCAGATTTCTTACATTTGAAAATTGAAATAAGAAATATTCTTTTTTCGCTGGATCATCATAATAGAGCCTTAATAAAACAGTCACAACTGTTTTTCTGAAAGTGGCCCTTTTCAGTTCAGAGATGTCATGTATAATCATTTAATTGAGGGTGTTATCTTCTTTCTTTGGTACATAATTGCTGTAATATATTGGTTTCCTACGAGAATTATTAACATTCTAAAACCAATTATGTCCTTCATAGGATGCAGGAAATAGTCCAGTGACCTTGCTGGGACCAATTCGTGCAATCCCCAGAACTGATTCTGGTGAAGTCTTGAGTAGCACGAAGGGCGTTGATACGCCGTTGAGCAAGAAATTGATAGATGGAGGAGACCACGAAGGAGGTAACATAGACGGACTTGAAAACCTTGAGACAGCCATTTCATGCAAAGAAGCATTGCACAATCTGGATTCTGCAGCTCAGAGTGCGCTGCAGTTATTTTCCAAGTTTGCCAACCTGGATCCTGAAGGACGATTGAGGGGATCGGAAGTTCAGTTGTATGCTGAGGCAGCTGAAAGGCTTCCATCAATAGCAAAGAAAGTTCATGCTATAGCCAAGTTAGTTCAATATGCCAAAATCCTTTCCAATGAGAATAAATGGGTAGATGACGGTTCAGCTTGTGAACCTTCATCATTGTTGGACAAGACCGAACAACAATAAACAAGATTTAAATTTTATTTTCTTCTTTTATACAGTTGAGTATTGTTCAGTCCATTTTATCAAACATGCTAAAAGGTTCTTGATACATTGAGCACAGACTAGTACTATTAAGCACAAAGATTTTTGACGAAAAATTACTAGAAGATAAGGGAATGGTGATAAATTTTTCCGTCTTCTATGAGATGACTAAAATCAAACTGGTTCCCCGAAGATATTATAATATTATAGTTATTATTTTCAGTTGCATTTGTACTCTAACTGTCCTTTCCTTTCTATTTTAGGCTACGAAAATTTTTGTGCTCGACAAGTATAATGGTTCAAAAATTTAAACGAAAGGGGAGATGTGAGTGTTAATTATACAGACACTTTGATTTCATTTATGTGGACAAAAGAAATGAATCTTTGAAGATAAATAAAATAATGTTAGTTCTTGTATTTTTACAAAGAATTCAAGGTTATGAACCGTAAATATTTTTAAGGAATGTCCTTTTTATTTACTATTATTTTGATGACTTGTCTCACAATAGAACAATTCTATTGGACTAAACAGATTTGGATCTAGTAAACAACTCCAAGAGTGCTTTCTAAAGTTAGGAAGAAGAAAATGAAATATGAACAATCGTGTTGATCATAATAGATCAACTTTCATACTAATTCTTGTGAATAAATGTTCTATTTAAGGACATTGAAACATTTTTTGATACTTTTGGTGACTAATGTGGAGATAGATTCTATTTGTTATTCCTTTCATGACTCATTTAGAATTAACAATTCAAGGAAAGATTGTAGTATTTATATCCACAGAGTTACAAAGGTTTAATTGAGATATATATTGTGTTTTCATATGTTGTGATTTTTACATATACTAGTTCAACGTGTTGTCACTATTAATAATCTCTGGAAAGTACTTGTTGGGCCCATTCATTTTCCATGAAGACATCAAATTGTCCCAAAAATAATTCAACTTTTTCTCTGGTATACGTCCTTTTTCCCTTACCTTGAGCATAAAAGAAAAGCAATGACCCTCTTTGTTTTTCTTTATTCCTTTCACCTTTGAAAATTGTCTCCTCTGATGATTTTCATGCAATTCCAATATTATAAAAAAAAGCTGCTGACGAAAGCCCTTTTCTTATTCATTTCAAGGCATGCCAGTAAATCATATGCAAACTCTACAAAGATTCATATAATCAGCTAAAGATCTGTTTGGAATATATGCTAATCCCTATGAAAATGTGCCTACAAATCCTTCTTTTGTATGCTTCTAGCTTTAGTAACAATCCAAAGTCTAAATTCTTTCTTGGGATCATTTTCTTTAGATTATTGAAACTATCATGGGTTCTTCTTGCCACTTGTATCACATTACTATAATGTTCTCGGGACATTGAAACCCAATTTAGCGTATGAAACGTAGAAAGGATTAGATACTTAAAAAAATTGACTCATCATCTTCGTATTTTTCTCTCAACATGAATCCCGCTCTACACCTTGTTAGGCATTGAATTTGTTGATGTTTACTCTGTAAATGTCAATGAATTTAAAAAAATAATATAATTCAAAATAATAGGCAATAACACATGCTATTGAGGGTGGATGTGAAGGGGGACTTGGGGGTCTAAAATGAGGACTTCTTTTATAGTGGGTTATCATTCAACACGGAAATTCTCTATGGAAAAATGCATTGATAATTTAATTAATAATTGTGTGGGGGGTAAAGCCTAATGTCATCATCCAAACACAACAATTTTATTTATTTTTTTCTTTAAAGTGATGGACAACTTTTTATTTATTTATTTTTTCTGACCACTATTTTCACCCTTAAACTTTTAAATAATTTCATTTTAACCCTATAACAAGGTGAAGAACTTAGAGATACCAATATAATCCTTGTAATTATGGACAATAATTATTAAATCCCTAATATAATTAGACAGCATTATTAGATAAAGGTAATGGGTTTGGCGAAATTTGTGGAACTTTTAATGCACGCGTGCGATTTGTTTTTCTAATTATTTTGATTCTCCTATGATAAGTCAATTTTAAGCAGATTATTGTCCCTGCAAAAGTAATATATCAATTAAGGTTTCATACTATCCAATGATCCCACTCACCACTACTTACCAATTCTTGTGTCTACACACACACACACATTTCAGAAAATAATTTTCTTAAGTTCTCCAAATTGACATTCATGCAAGTCGGATATGATTTCATATGAATAATAATTCTTATATTACTGTTATTATCATGGCAGATGACAAAAAGATTCAAGGAAATAGAGGCCTACTTGCTCGTATAAATCCTCAAAATTTACAAAAAAAAAAAAGAAAAGAAATAATAGGCAATAACACATGCTATTGAGGGTGGATGTGAATGGGGACTTTGGGGTCCAAAATGAGGCCTTCTTTTATAGTGGGTTATCATTCAACACGAAAATTCTTTATGGAAAAATGCATTGATAATTTAATTAATAATTGTGTGGGGGGTAAAGCCTAATGTCATCATCCAAACACAACAATTTTATTTATTTTTTTCTTTGAAGTGATGGACAACTTTTTATTTTTTATGAAAAAAAAGGATAAAATAATAAACTTGTCTGACACTAAGGATCTTACTAATGTAGCATGCTTAATTTCATCATCCCTAATATATATAAATCTGACATATTAATTTAGAAACTGTAAGAATCCTCCAGATGTCTGACCTAAAGCTGCTTTAAATTTTGTTATTTAGATATAAATTTGAATTGTCATAAAGGATCATCTTCTTGTAGAGGTGCGTTCAGAATAAACATTTTGTATGATATAAAATATTCTATCAACTTTTTAGTTTGTTAAAATTAAATTTTAACTACTACTACTAAAAAACAACTTTTCACCTATGGAAAATTACCAACGAACCGTTGGTGATTAGAAACGGATTATCCATTGGTAAAAGTAATTTACTTTTAGCTATGATAATTAACAACGAATTTTCCATTGATAAAGATGATATCTCTTTACCAACCGATATTCCGTGTCTAATGTAATCGTTTAACATTTGGATCTTTCTCCAACGGATATTCCGTAGGTGATGTACCGAATATTACCAACGGATTGCATCCGTTGGTAATTAGAAACGGATTATCCGTTGGTAAAAATAATTCACTTTTAGCTACAATAATCAGTAACGAATTTTTTGTTGTTAAAGATGATATCTCTTTACCAACGGATATTCCGTGCCTAATATAACCGTTTAACATTTTGATCTTTTACCTACGGATATTCCATTGATAATTAGAAACGAATTATCCGTTAGTAAAAATGATATCTCTTTACCAACGGATATTCCGTGCCTAATATAACCGTTTAACATTCTAATATTTCAGCAACGGATGTTCCGTTGGTAATGAGAAACGGATTATCCGTTGGTAAAAATAATTCACTTATCTCACATCGAAAGTTTACAACAATATCATTGTAGTTGCCCTCTATAAATTTGTGGTCCAATAAGAAGTTAAACAATATTTTGACCTTTCAATTCATGATATCTCTTTACCAACGGATATTCCGTGCCTAATATAACCGTTTAACATTTTAATCTTTTACATATGGATATTCCATTGATAATTAGAAACGAATTATCCGTTAGTAAAAATGATATCTCTTTACCAACGGATATTCCGTGCCTAATATAACCGTTTAACATTCTAATATTTCAGCAACGGATGTTCCGTTGGTAATGAGAAACAGATTATCCGTTGGTAAAAATAATTCACTTATCTCACATCGAAAGTTTACAACAATATTATTGTAGTTGCCCTCTATAAATTTGTGGTCCAATAAGAAGTTAAACAATATTTTGACCTTTCAATTCAGTTGGCTAAAAATAAAAAAATATTATAATTATTAAATAATAATAATAATAAATAAATAAATAACTTTTTTACCATACGGTGATTTACAATATTGATTTTTACAAAGTGTAATAGTAGATATTTACCAACGGAAAGTTGGTTGGTATTGGTTAAAACTTTTACCAACGGAAATTCAGTTAGTAAAAGATTCACACTTTACCAACGAAAAATCCGTTGGTAAAATGTTTATTCTTTACCTACGGCATAATCCATTGGTAACTATCAGCGACCCTGAAATTATCAACGGATTTGTGGTTGCAAATATTCCGTTGGTGAAATTTATTAGCAACGGATATTGAGGCTTTAGGAACGGAAAATCCGTGCCTGATACTCTGTTTTTTAGTAGTGTACACATTTCATTCGACACAGCCTTAGTAATAGAAGAAAATATCTGCTAAATGTTTTGTCAAAGCTATTGTCACTCAAGTTGAAAATCTTAAAAAATTGAATATATAACAACAATTCATTTGTAAGGATTGAAATTTTAAAATAAAACTTCAAGAATAAATATCGATCGAGCCTTCACAATAAGTCAATCTAACAAGGTTTTCTCTAAACCAAAGCAAGAAACACAAGGAAATGCCCCTAGGGCATAGTCTAGTGGTACAAAGGATAGGAGTGAGGTTATTTCACGCCTTGCTGACAGTCGCAGTGTGGGGGTTCGATTCTTGAGACATGAAATTGGACTACTTGTAGGCGCAGTGTACAGGCAGCTTTTATTTCCTGACCTGTTGGGGCACATCCCGCGATTTACCTTCTTCACAAAGCTCTAAGAGTTGGGCAGTGGAGGCCCTCAAAGTTGGGGTTCAACCTTTTTTTTTATTATTATTATTAAGAAACACAAGGAAATTACTAATTTTATAACTTAAAATGTGCAATAAAATGGGAAATGGACTTAAATGGGTCCCACAGAATTTTTGTCTCAAATCTTCATCCCATTCCATATAATCCAATTGGGGTTTATGGGTTACATTTTCTCTCCAAAACAAACAACGATATAAAAAGACAAAACCCTAGAGAGAGAGAGAGAGACACACACACACACACACACACACAAATATTTAATCTATTTATTATATTATATTGTGGATAAAATAAAGGAAAAGTTAAAAGACTGAAGACAGAGAATCACTTTATGTTTAGTTATATACAAAATACTCATAGAATATTACATACGTACGTAAGTACACGTGGATGGGTCTTGTTTGTTTGTTTCTTTTTCCTCGCATGCCATGTGAATAAAAGAGAATTAATGGGCCCCCGTGATTTTAACTGAAGTACGTGGGCCCACAAGGTTAAAAACGGGCTCATCTTGCTCGTGACTCAGCGGCGGGCTGCTCAGCTCCTTCACGGCCCACTATTTATTGCACGAGTTTGCATTAATTACCAATTTACATTCTTGGTGAAATAAAATAAAATATTTATATTTTTTACAATTTACAGTGCTAATTTGAAAACAAAGGGATTTTTCAAAAATGAAAATATTTTTGGAATTCATTTGGCTCGTAAGAATTATTAATAATTTTAATTTATCAAAATATCGTTTTATTATGTATTGTATTAATTAATTAATTTTAAAGAGTAAAATTATATTAAATACAATTACATATAAATAGAAAGTTTATAAACAACCATAAAAACTTAAGCTGCTTGCAAAATGAAATAGTAACAAGGGTTGTGGAGTTGATATCATTTGATTGTTGCACAATTTAAATTTGTAATTTCTCTCGTTTTGAGTCGAGACCTGCTCGTATTATTCCATCTTTTTAATTGTCAAGATTCAAGTTGAATGTTATTTATATGTGCAATTCTGACTTTTGAGGGTCCCTCGATTTTTCTAAAAATTGAAACAATCTCGATTAACCTTTTTATTAGCAGAGTTTAAGAGTATCATTTGTACGCCAATATAATTTTTATCGTCACGTGAAATTTTGCCGTTTAGTTAACAATAATGATGCCATCATGGATACACACGCTTGCATACACAAATTAAGATGCCTGTAAGTGGTAACCTACGTATACTATAGGAATTCCAAGGAAGAAATAGTCCAAATTAAACTAAAATTAGTATAACAAAATTAATACCGTTGATCTAGATCATTGATTTGTCCCACTCTCTAAAAGCCGTTTATTTTGCTCAATGTAATGATAGCAAGATCATCATTGTAACCCAATTGACAATTCTTTGATTTATTCACAGAAATACAAGATAGAAATTTAGGTGAATCTCTCTAAAACAATGAAAAATGACAGACGGTTTAAAAAATAAATATTTCATTATACATTAATGATCCCTTGTCAAGTACTCTTGTATACGAAAATTATCGTCGGATTACTCTTGGAATTGGTTGATATCGAGGCTTCACTTGATGTTTGATCGAGCCTTATCGATCTTTCTTCTCGAATCTAATTATATATCAAGGTTCTAAATCAACCATCCTCTATAATTGTCCATCTTAAAATATTAAGTCATATCTATGTACTCGAAAACATATTTGTAGACTTGTCACCTAAACTCATGCTCCAAAGATGGTCGAAGCCAAGAGAGCCGACTAGGGAGGATGGGCTAGCTAATTTAGCTGAGCCTTTTAGTACAAAATTGAATTATTTCTCAAATTAGTCTCCCCCTCCAAACACTGTCCGTTTTTGGCCCACAAAATCATGAAAGCTGAAATTTCAATGAGAAATAAAACATAACATCACCAATTATTCATTATGTATCCGATTTTTTGCGGAAGAGACAGGGGGGGAAAAAAAAAAAAAAAAAAGAAAAGCCCAAAAAGAAAAAGAAAAAGCAAAACCAGAAAAAGCATACCAAAGAAAGCGATTTGAGAGAAACACACCTGACTTATCGAGAGAGAGAGAGAGAGCACTGTTGTCTTGGTGATGGCGTGATTTGCTTTTGCTTTTGTCGCAGATAGGAATCTTTGAAATTGAAAGCTCCTCAAACAAAGAAAAAATACAGTATTGGTCCTCAATCTATCCCCAATTAGCAATATTAATGCTCAATCTTTACATATACTTGCATTACGTGTTGTCAACGTCCGAAGTCATCCAAATATCTATTATATTATCCGAGTTTCTGAAGTTCAATTATGTTCTCCAAATTGGATCCGTGCATGGGCATTTGAAGTTGGCTAAATTTTCATGTGATTTCATCCATAATAATAGTGCATTTAGTTTAATGCAAGGACGGATTCAAGATCGGACTACACAATTTCAAGTCGGGCTAACATGCGAAAAAAAATTTTACACACAAAAAACTGTTTAAAAAAAAATGAAAAATGCATTAAAAAAAATAAATTTCTTGGGGCTTGGCAGGGAAGGGGGCTACAGCCCAACTCAATCCTCCTTAATATCCGTCTCTGGTTTAATGTCAATTAGGTAATTATTTAAGTTCGATATATTTTCCCGAGAATCATGTGATATTTGAGTAATAATAAGTTATTGTGAAGGAATTTACTCATTTAACAAAGATTTGAACATTTTATTTCATTGAGGACTCATTATGTATAATTATATTAGAAGATAGAGAGTGAATTTCGCTCATTATTGAAGATTAGGGACTAGAATGGTACTTAGGGAGCAAAGATGAAAATGTTTCCATTTATAAACAAATATTACTCCAAGAAATGGGTTTGATTTGTGCACTCTTTTGGGGGTATAAATTTACCTTTTTGGGTCTGTTTCAAAGTCCTTACTAATGCGGCAGATTGGGACAAAATTGACCAATCAGTACAATTATATCTTGGAACTTTGTACCCATGTGATAAAGAAATTATATTTTAAAACAATCATTTTGTGTTCATACATGAATCAAATGGTACCATGTTTGGATCTCAAACATTTTAACTTTTTTTTTTTTAATTAATTCTATGTAATTCGGTACAAATTAATTTATCGAACAAGTCAATTTTTTTTGTTGTAAAAAATCAAGAAAAAATAAATTTAAAATCGACTGCATAAATATCTTGTTTTATTACTTCGTTAATATAATTGGCACATCAACAAAAAAATACAAATAATCTTCGTATTTGAAGGCCAATCGTTTGTCGTTTATAATTTAATATAAAATGTAAGATAAGATCCAATTACAATTACAAAATAAAAATAATATCATACTTTTATTGTATTTAGCCCATGTTTATTCAGATTTAATTTAAATTAAAGTCAAAAATTAATTTTAGCAATACATTTCATATGATCTATAGCTTTTCAATAATACATTTCATTAGTTTTTATTAAAATTGACTAAAAATCTAATTTTAATTCTCAAGAAATTAAAAACATTTGAAAAATTTGATCGCTCCTTGATTGGTAATAATGTGTACTCATCTCGTCCGTCCATTACAATTAATAAAAAAATAGAAAGAAAAAAAAGCGTTATCTTGCATTTCGTTTTGATGGTCGTACTAATTTGTTGAATAATAACTTATAATTTAGTTGGGTCAATAATTAGCACCGTTTGTAAATTAAATACTACAATATTCCATTTAGGCATAAGCAATTAATTCACACTAAGGGTAACACAGTAATTTCAACCCCAACGGTAAGAGAATTAGTAGAGAGAGAAAATTTTCCTTAAAATTTCTTTTTATTTCCTCAACGCTTTCCTCTTCCTTTCTCTTCGTTTCATTTTTCTTTACTGTCCGTTTGAGTACTCGAAGTAAAGCTTTTCTCTCTCATTTCTCTCTTATAACATAGAGATTCTTGCACAGTTGTAGAGACTTTTGGGCGTTTTTTGTGTTACAGTGTGAGTGAAATGCGAGATGGAGTGAAATGAGCAGCTGCGGGTTGAGTGTAGACAACCAGCTTCAACGGTTATGAATCCTACGGCTGTAGACCCGACAGCGCCGCCGCCGCAGCCTCCACAGCCACCGCGCTCCTCATTCAGTTGCGACCGACACCCAGATGAGCAATTTACTGGGTTTTGCCCTTCCTGCCTCTGCGAACGCCTCACCACCTTAGATCAATCCTCTTCCAATACGCCCTCCTCCTCTCGCCGCCCCTCGTCCGCCGCCGCCACCGCCGCGGCCATCAAATCTCTTTTTTCGTCTAACTCCTCCAACAAACCGCCGCCAGCACCTAAAACTACCAGCTCCAAATCCAGCTCGTTTTTTCCTGAGCTCCGGCGAACGAAATCTTTCTCCGCCTCAAAAAATGAAACTTTAGGCCTATTTTTTGAGCCCCAGAGAAAATCTTGTGACGTTAGGGTTCGTAACACTCTCGGGTCACTCTTTACTATTGACGACGTTAATAAAACCGCTAATAAAGCCTCTTCTTCTTCTTTCCAAAACCACTCGCAATATTCTCAGAACAGCAAGCAATGCGAGTCTATTGTTGCCGATAAGCCTGTTCTCGAAGAGCCCGAAAATAGTGATGATGAGGAGTTTATAGAACCCGAAAACATGGAAGATTTTGCTTCTGCTGTTAATGCTGATGAGGACAATGACAATGATGATGACAATGGTGATGAAATTATTCCTGTTCCAGATGACCATTTGGAGAATCTTGGAATCTCCCTTGAAATAGAGCCGAATAATTCTGAAATTATAGAAGAAGAAGTAGCAAATCTTAACAATTTGAAATCAATGAAGGATCATATAGATCTCGATACACATGTCAAGAAGAGTTCAGGAGGGGGGTTTTGGGCTGCGGCTTCAGTTTTTAGTAAGAAATGGCAAAACTGGAGGCGTAAACAGAAGATTAAGAAGCAGAACGATGGAGAAAACTCTGGTACATTGCCGGTGAAGAAACCGATTTCCAGGCGTTACAGAGAGACTCAATCTGAGATTGCTGATTACGGGTTTGGGAGAAGGTCTTGTGATACTGATCCGAGGTTTTCGCTCGATGCTGGGACCGGGAGAATCAGCTTTGATGATCCGAGGTACTCTTTTGAGGAGCCTCGGGCTTCATGGGATGGGTACTTGACCGGGAGGAGTTTTCCGAGGATGCCACCTATGGTTTCTGTAATGGAGGATGCTCCAGCTGTCCATGTATCACGGTCTGATATGCAGATGCCGGTAGAGGAGCCAACGATGATGACTGTGAATAGTGTTAATAAGGACGAGGGTGTGCCTGGAGGATCGGCACAAACTCGGGAATACTATTCAGATTGTTCCTCGAGGAGGAGGAAGAGTCTTGATAGGTCTAGTTCCATTAGGAAGACCGCTGCTGCTGTGGTAGCGGAGATTGATGAGTTGAAGGCAGTTTCTAATGCTAAGGTTTCTCCAACGACTGCGGATTATTTTCATGTGGCCAAGGTGTTGGTAGGAGAGCGAGATTCGAGGGACTCAACTTCAAATTCTTTGAGGAACTCGAACTCGAATTCTTTGAGGGATGAATGCTCTGAGGCTCTTGAGTTGAGTAATGGGTTTAGGAGCAATGGTTCGATGTTAGGGAATGTGGAGCGAAAGGAGTCAAAGAAGTCAAGGAGCTGGAGTTGGAAAATATGGGGTTTTATACACCGGCGTAGTGGTGGTAACAAAGATGAGGATGAAGGTAGGTATAGTAGAATAAATGGAGTAGAGCGGTCATTATCAGAGTCTTGGCAGGATTTGAGGAACGAACGAAATGCTGATGTCAGAGGAGGATTCAATAGGAATGTACTTCGGAGCAATAGTAGTGTGAGCTGGAGGAATTCAACTCATATTGGGGGATCATTTGGGAGTTCGAGGAAACCTGTTGTTGACATGAATGGGAATGGGAAGAAGAAAAGGGACGAGTTTGTGTTAGAGAAGAATCGGAGTGCAAGATACTCGCCTAACCATTTTGATAATGGGCTTTTACGATTCTACCTAACGCCTATGAGGGGCAGCCGGAGAGGCGGCGGACAAGGGAAAATAAAGCCAAATAGTTCTCATTCAATTGCGAGAAGTGTCCTTCGGCTGTATTGAAATCCAAGGTCTTGAAGCTGTTCTCTTGATTTTGAAGTTAATTTTGTTGCATTTGTTGTGCAAACATAAACATGCTCTTTGGAATCTTGATATTTGGTCAAATTATCTCACAGTGCATTGATCTGGATGCTATTCTAACTATCGTAACAATGAAAAAATCCCATGATTCTTTGTGTCTACTCCTGTATTTGGCAATCCTTTATACATTGTCTTATTCATCGTGAAAATATGACGTGGTATTTGCATGGCCCTGCATATGATGCATGAGCTGATTTGTTCTATTTTTATCCTACAATTCCGTTTGCTTCTTGTTCTTGATACGACCATGCAAGCACATAGTTTTTACTAGTCTCTGTCTGGTTTTTTAACTCGTCACTGATTTAATGGATATAAACTTTTCTCGTTTCTTGATACTACTTTAATATTAGTCTGCTTTAATAATATGATGTTCACGAAGGCGTAATTTTTAGATCAAAGAATGAAAAGAACGCGAATAGTGAAGGCATAATCAGGTCCCAGTTGGAGTTGAAAGTTCCCTTAATTGAACAAGCTGAAGTTATGTACAACTAAAATTTTGCTGATTACTGTATTTGTTTCAATTGTAAGCGACAATATTTTGTCGATGCAATTGTCTAAACCTGGATGATTTGTTGAATTTTGTGCTTCGGGCATCTTGATAATTTAGGGTGCTATTTTGAGTAATGATTGGTGCACAGGTTGGTGTAGGAGAAGTTCATTTTTAGTCCTATTCACCGGAACAAACCAAACATGGTGGATCACCCACCAAAAAAGGAAAAATCATGCAGTGTGTAATGGACAGATTTTTCTCAATTTTCTTGGTTCAAAAGGGAATTGCACCAAGAGAACTTGAACCTATAGAAACCATAATATTTATCTGTGTGCACGCGTGTGGTATCTGCATATGTACTATCTTAACGTGTACCTTTCTCTTCAGATCTGGTCATTCAACCTTCAAGATGAGCTGCAATTCTTGTAACTCTTGGTGGTTAATTGAAGATCGAGGTAGGATTCTTATAACTCTTGGTGGCTACTTGAAGATCAACATAGGTTGGGGTTTGCCGAATGTCTGGGACTCAGGTTTCCCAGGTCAGTTGTTGGAAGCTACAAAAAGATTTCCCGGTTGAATGAAGATGAAGAATGGTAGTTAAGTCAAATACTTTGGAATCAATAAAGCTCTCATCGTGGGCGTAGGCATATAATTTGCCAAGGTTGATTTCTTCAAAATCCTGGTTTTTCAGTTCTACTGGATCTAGTGACTGTTCATGGAACTTCGTCCCAAAGAAATTTACATGTCTGAAAGGCTTGTGAGTTAAAATGAGTAGCAGTTACTTAAGACAGTCATATTTCTTTAATTGGTGGGTATGTATCTGTTATAGTAGTTGGCTAATGAAAAATGATATACTGGTAGATTGGTTGAAATGGAAAGTTCGGCCCTCCTTTCTTCTTCTTTTTTTTTGGTCACGTTTATTCTCGTTTATAAGGTTCATATTGAGTGCGAAAAATGCATAATAAACTTCTACACGAGCAAAACAATTGCTTATATAAGTAGGATAAAGATAGTTGTACATAAAAATTGGTTCATAATGGTATCCTCCATCTCACATGGGATGGGACCCACTTGAATATTTTATTCGGGTGGATCCCACCCCATGTGAGATGGAGGACACAATGATGTACCAATCTTTATGTACACTTAGCATCTCTCATATAAGTATGCTTAACCTTGCATGAAGATGGGTCGAATTTGAAGGTGATCCGTACTTTGAAGCTAACATAACACAATCCTAAGACGCAAAATATACTCACAACACCATTTTCCATATTATTTTGTCGTGGATTAAGCTCTAATCTTGGCTCTTGAGAGCAATATTAAATAAACGATTGTGCTACATGAATATAATGGTTTATATACACAAAATGCGACGAAATATGATTGGATCGAAATTTCTTCAATTAAATAATTAAAAAAATCTCAAATTATATTTCACCACACCATTTGTATGTAAATTATTATGTATCTCCATAATGTACAAGTAGCACTTTTCATAAACCGATTAGCGGTCGGGAAAATGAGCAATGTACACAATAGTGTATAACATGATAAGCTCTACTCAGCCTCACATTCCGAGAGCCACCACTAGTTTTATGAATATTAAAAAAGGACATGAACATTTTGGAAAAGTAACAAAAGTGGTGGCTGCAGCAAACTCTATCTGAAAATCAATAAAAATTAAAAGTAATCAGCAGCCTGCTTGTTTTGAGTTCATATTTTGATCGAGTTATGGATGACATTAAAGTCAAAAAGTTGCAAGAAAAAACATCCCAACATGCTTTTGTTCAAGTGGATAAAAAAGAGGATACGCAAAGAAAAATAGATAAAGAGGCTCGTAATCCAATGCCATGTCAGTTCCCGTAACTACCCTCGCAAACTTAAAAAATAATGTTATGAAAAAAATATTCTTCGACTAAAATTGCACTCTACAAAAATTATATATTACCTATAAACTTCTCGATTTTAATCCATGACTGGCCAGTATGGGCTTGTTTGGGAGCGATTTTTTCACCAAAAAAATTGATTTTTTGACCGTTAATTACTATTCCAGCCGTCATATTTGACTTCTTCTTTTGCAGGTGAGTCAAAAAATCAATTCTCAAAATTAGTCACAAACAGACTCTATATAAGTGTTTAACTTGAGCCCTTCTAATGGTACATGAGGTGCCTTGGATGGTCGGAATCTGCCGGTGTTATTGTATCTTTCTAGTTGTGAATGGTTGACATTTTTGTACCCAGAACACTGGCACACATAATCTCTTGGGTACACATTAAGATTCCTCAAGTTGTTTTTGTTCTCTCCTAATCTTAATTGGCACCAAGTTTGGAATAAAAGTCGACTTTGCTAAAGAGCTAAAAGTCAGTCGAGAAATGTAATAGCGCTTGTCCATCAATTGACAGCAAACGCTTTTTTACATTTTTCAAGCAATATGAGGTCAATTTCTTTTCTAAGAAATGTTACAAGCAAAGATTATGTTTCATAGTCTTGTGTAGACTTATGTAAACTGCAGAAATAAGAATTAACATCCATGTTAAAATAAATGTATCTACGAAGCAAAAAAAGAAGATAATTAATACTTTCCCATGATTGCTCTCGAAACCATAAAAATACTCCGATACATGTTCTTTCGCATAGTTGTATTGAAGACCAACCAAGATAGACGCAATCTGAAAGAAATTTGGTGAGAAAAAGCAAATTAATGTGCCAAATCGTCCACCTTAGCTAAGATGCCACGGACTGGATCAAACTATAAATGAGATTTTGACGTATTTCCTGTAAACCCAGAAAAACATTGTGAGGTACGCCAAGAAAGGAAAAAAAGCACTAGAAAAACAAGGGTAAATAACAAACCTTCCAATGAGACTATGGCTATAGTGTTAGATATTGTGACCTTTTAGTGTGACTAAGAAACCAAACGCAAATATCGAGTCTTTGCTTCTTTTAAATTGCTGGTGATGGCATTTTCCCCTTTACTTCCCTTTTGCAAGCCTATGGAATTGAAGTGCACCTCGTTATTGTCTGAATCAACTTCTTTTAGAGGTGACCTTATCTGCCTGCTTAGGTGCTGCAGAAATGACGACGTTGAAATAGTAACTGATGATGGCTTCCTTGGACTTGGTTGGAAAGTACTTTGAAGCTTGTTTCAAAAAGCTCTTCCAGTAGGTATTGGTTTCATTTTCACCAATAATTCGAATTTTTGTAGTTCCTTCAATGTCCACGATTTTGAAACTTGTTCACCCATCTCATCAAACTACCAACCAAAGAAAGCGAGGCCAAGTTCCTGTTGAAGTAGCTGCCTTCTCTCAAGAATGTGTTGTCTAATGCAATCAACAGATCCAGGTGTCATACAGCTACAAGAGGCAGGTCTCCATTTTCCATTCATTCTCCCTCTGGTTTCCACCATCCTGGGGTAAAGAATGCTCTTCTCGAGGAGCCATTCCACTTGGGAACATCAGCCTGAAATCGAGGCCTAACTGGAAAGATGTTCACAAATGAAGCTCGGTAACCTGATTGATAGGCGAGGTGGTTGAACTTGCCTTCTATCTGGCCTGTCCAGTGTTGGCGAGCCAGAAATGTGAATTGCAACGTAAAGTTTCAGTGACATTGGCTCATCGGGAGTCAGGTTTTCGAGACTCAATGGATCTGAAACATTTGATAGATTCATCAGAATCTACAACAGGAGTATATTTACTGAGCGGATTTAAATCTAAACATCATCTATCGGAAGGATAATTCTATATATAACTGTTCCTCAGGCAATGTATCCTCATATGTCATTGAACTGCCAGAACTACGTGACCTATGAGTTTTCTCATCAGAAGCCTCAGTTGAGTGAACTAAATCGAACAAGCATGGAACGGAAGAGGCATAAGATAACTTCCCTTTACTCAGTTTCGTGCCATTTTGGTTAGGCACCACATATCCAGGAGTAGTTATCAGCTCACATTTAACAAATTCCAGCAGTTTTCGCTTTCTGTGGAAAAGATGAGCGATGATAAATTGTGTTAATACCATGATGTAAGGTTTAAAACAAATAGAGTAAAAAGAGTAGCACATCGGATTAAGAAAATTTAATTCTGTTATTGGGAACAGGAAGCAATATAAAAGAAATAAAGGAATATTAACACTTAGAGCATCTATATGATATTATTTAAGCATGATATACTATTTATTTTAAAGAGTCAACTTTTAAAATCATGCTCCAAAAAATTCTTTAAATTTACATTTTAGAGCATTTTAAAGAGATTCCTTAAAAATGAGATGCTCTCTATTTTAAAGAGTCAACTTCTAAAATCATGTTGGAAGAAACTCTTTAAATTAATATTTTAATTCAGAGAATGAGTTTGACTCTCCAAATCCACTCTCTATAATTAAATGCATTCAAAGTGTTTCAATTTTCAATATATGAAAATAATAAAATAATCTAAAGAAAAGCTAGTTAAAATAAAAGATAGAGAAAAATAAATTTTTTTTTTGAGAGTAATAAAATTAAGCCCTTGTTTGAGCCCCATTCTTTCAAAAGAAATACATTCTTAAATAGTGTTTTGATATCATTTCAATCACATATTCTTGAATAAATTATATTACACGCAAATTCAAAATTTTTCCTTATTTTTTAACAATACATTTCTCATCAATATACTATTCAAAAATTTATCTCCTCCCCCAAAATGGGGCTCAAACAAGGGCTAAGTGTTAAATATAAAGAGATTGCTGGAGTATTTCAAAATTTGTACTCTTTAAATTATAGAATATGCTCTTTAAAAATAAAGAGTCTTTTGGAAATACTTTTAATCTCCTCAATGCATGTGCAAGCCGAGGAGACTTCTCTTTCACTAAACGTATTTTCTTCTCCTTATGCTGACAGAAAGAAAGAATAGGAAGTATAATGTTCTACAAGTTTGTTCTGAAAGATATACATGACAAATTGAGGTCACTTAGAAAGTCTCTAAATGATAGGATGAGAGTTTAGATGTCATTTGGCGGTATCAATATAAAGAGAACCCTACCTTAAAGGTTTGTCTGTGAACCTGTTGATTGAGGACTGGAATATCATTGAAGAATAATATCCATGCACAGCCTGTCATTATCCTCAACTAGCAATGGCGCCTTCTCCTTCTATGTAAAGACAAGAAAAAAAATGCAAAATGACCAACAAAACATTCTGGGCTATATAACATAGGCCAAGAAGTTGAGACCAGTAATGAAAGTCCACAAAAGAAAAGACAAACAGGCGCACGCCTGAGCCTTAGCCTCAGCCTCAAGGCGCAAGCCTCGGTAAATCTTAAAAATGGTACTCAAGGCAGAAGGTTTGAGGTTTTAAATGAAAGCCTCGTGTGAGACATGCCTCAAGGCATAAGCCTCATTCAGCTTTTCAAAACGATGGTCACAACTTAAAAAATGACAAATTAATCAATCCTTCAAATTGATATTTCTAAGGAATTAGTTTTTTATAAGATTCATTATCATAATTAAGAGGTTGTTTGGTGAGGATTAAAATTGAATTTTTTAGTAAATTGAGATAGAAGTTTTTGAAATGTGTGTTTGAAAAGTTGTGGGATCCATGAAAGATGTGATTAATATTGATTATTTGACTTTGACGTAGATTAAAATCAGACTTTAATCCAAACCAAACAATTATTTCGAACAACACAATTAAGCCTCCGTTTTGCAAAATTATAAATCATTTATAAAATGGTCATATTTCATTTTCAACCACAGATTTCATTGGATAATAAGTACTATCCACTTATTCATAATTCATTTTTATCTATATATAAATTAAACCATTTATAAATTTTTCCAAACGGAGGCTAATTTGCTTGTAGAACAAAAAAGGAAAGATGCACATAAAACAATCATAGCCCTACTATTATTTTTGTTTTTCAATTTTTTGGCTCTCAAAAGCTAAAACAATAGCACTATATCCTAATTAAGATTATTTCAGACAACAGCACTTCTAAATCTTAGGAGCACAAAAAATGAACTGGTTAAAGATGCATATACAACTACCATATCCCAATGATTCTCTTTGTTTTTCAACCGGGAATAGTCTCTGAAAAGCTAAAACAATAGAACTATGTGTTTTCCTCAAGACACTATCTGAGATGCTAGAAGATAATTGCATAGCTAGTTAATATAAACAGTGTCAAATGCCACATTGTGCAAAGCCAAAATTACAAGAGAAGAGTTTGTTAACAATGAAGGTATGGGACAAGTCTATATGGAAGTCAACTTGGTTAAAAACTTAACATGACCAGCCTTGAAATTTTGCGGGCCTTACCAATACACTTTATGAGTTTATATAGATATATAAATACTAGCATTAACATTATGGGTCCCTCACCTATATTGGGCCGTAGGCAGTGCCTATATCGCCTATAGTTAGAGAAGTTTTGAAACCTAGTCACAGTTGGACTCAATAAAAAACAATTTTTCTTCTAAAACAATGTTCCGAGTCTGAACACAATGGATCCCATAAGGAAACACGCGTTTCTTTTGTAGCAAACATGGGGATTAGATAATAGACTAGCATTTAAATTAAAACAGAAAAGGAAAAAAAAAAAGAAAAAGAAGCTAAGTACATATCAATTACAGTTTATGTAGCATGTGAAAAAATAGGATATTGCTTAGGACTTACCCAAGGAACTATAGAATCAGTGAATACCATAACTTTTCGCAGCTTAAGAATCTGATCAAACAGGGGCCGAATTTTATCTTGCGAAAATTCTTGCTTTCAAGGGTCCAGAGCAAGTCCTTTTAGCTGGGCTAACATTTCTACCTCAGAATTAGGGATGGTAGTGGGCCGAATCGAGCCGGCTCGGCTCGTTAACCCACGAGCTTGGCTCGGGCTCGTGGCTCGTTTTTCACGAGTTGAGCTCGGGCTCAGCTCGTTGCTCGTGGGCGAGCTCGGCTCGGCCCACGAGCTCGTGTACTCATGAGCCACGAGCTCGTGGGCCGAGCTGAGCGTACGAGCGGCTCATGAGCTCATGAATTTTTTTTTTTTTTTGCAAATTTTACAAATTCTATTGATAAAATTTTATTTTTTTCCACATTTTTGGATGAGCCGGCTGGTGAGCTCGACGAGCCGAGTGGGCTCGGCTCGAGCTCGGGTTCGTCATTTGACGAGCCTGAGCAGCCCACAAGCCGAGCTTTGACGAGTCGAGCCGATGAGCTGCGAGCCGACTTGGCCCAATTGACATCCCTACTCAGAATATCTTCCAAAGTTTGATTTTGCTAGCACAACTTCAATGTCTTTATCTTTATACAAAGGGGCTTTACCATTTTCCTTCCCCTTGTCACCTTGTTTTCTTCCCATCCTTTTTACCCCTCGCAAATTCAAACCAAAAACAGAGCCGTATCTCAACAATTCAATGTTCATAACTCCTAATTCCAAACTTGAAACAAAATTTGTATTCATAATTCGATACTTAATTTCTAATTTACTTTCATTCCCCCGAAGACTGAAGATTCGTTGCCACATTATGGTAAATGCAGTTGAGAATAACCCGATAAAAATGTAAATATATCACATGGGTCTCAATTTCATCAATTACAAGATTGCGGGTATAATGCGTGTATGCAAACTTCTTTCTCTCATAGCTTAAGCAGGGAATGTTAGTGGGAGCACAAGATGTAAGGATTTTTTAATTAATAGATGGGCTTATATGTGTGAATAATTGTGTTTTAAATTATAGGCTATCGAATTCGGTTGAGCCCAATTAAAGTGATCTAAAACGCTTCGATTTTGGATTTTAATGTATCCAATTAAAGTGTGGGTTTATATATGTGTAGAGATCGGGCCCAAATCTTAATTCTATGATAGGCCGAATTAGGTCAAAGGTCGTCCCTATATAAATAGGTTATGATTCTCAAATCACACGTACGTATTCATTCTCTACTGCATCCCATCACAGAAAGGAAAAGGAGACTGCGTGTAGATTTGGAAGACCATACCGCGAAATTCATTATTGCATTAACCATGTCTGATTCAAGCACGCTTCCGCTTTAATTCTTGTATTTCTTAATGATTTAACATGAAAGATCCGGTGATTTAAAGCATTAAATTATCCAACAAGTGGTATCAGAGCCTCTTCATGTTGAATCATTGAGAATTGAATAATTTAATTTAGTTCTTGCTATATTTTATAAAGTTTTCAGATTTGATAATTTAGAATCTATATTTTGTTGAATTTGAAAACTTTTGCGGTATATTTTTCGTTATTTTCGTAATTCAGATTAATGGTTGAGAAAATTCAGATTTGGAATTTTATGGATTTTGAAATCAGATTCAGATTTAAAAAAAAATTAATATATTTCGGGCGTGCTACAGGCGCTGTCGGCGCCGTTACTCCGGGCGGCGCACACCAGAAAGAAGGAGAAGAAAAATTTTGTAAGTTTTTTTTTCTTTCAGTTTTCTGGATTTTGGGGACGGGGGCCTCTTCTGTAAATTAGATGATTTGAGGCCCCTGAATGCAATTAGGGTTAGGATTATAAAATTAAGGTTTCAGTCCCTAACCTTTAAGTTATATTAAGATTTGGGCCTTTAAGTTTTGGATTTAATAATTCAGTCCCTGAGATTTAAAATTAATTAACTCGGGCTATTGAAGTTCTGAATTTTGTAATTAAAGCCCTCAAAATTTAATTATTAATTCAAATTGGCTCCCTAAGTTCATAATTAATTCAAATTGACCCCTAAAGTTTCAAAATTTTAAAATTTGATCCCTAAAGTTTTGAATTGGTCAATTTTGGCCCCTAAAGTTTTAAAATTTGTTCTAATTGATCCTCTAAAGTATTGAATTAAATAATTATGGTCCTTAAAGTTTCAAGTTTATTAATTTCAACACCTAAAGTTTGAAATTAATTAATTTTGCCCCCTTAAAGTTTTGAATTATTAATCCTATTGCCCCTAAAGTTTGAAAACTAATAAAAATATACAAAATTGGTGATTCTCTTTCTCAAATTTTGGTACTAAGGACTCTTTTAAGAGATATAATATTCGAAA